CTAAATTTGATTTATTGTTATTTAATTTTAATTTTATATAATTTATTATATATTATATTAAATTTTGTAAAATCTCAATTTTACTGATTCGATTTTACGATTCCGATTTCACCTAGTCACAACGATTTTAAATAAAATCTCGATTTTGACAGCCTTGGTTGAATCAAACAAACTCAGTTTAATCTTTCTCAGTTGTTTTTCTTTTAATGGAAAATATAATTGTGGAAATGGAGCTGGAATTTTTTTTTTTTTTTTTTCACACTTATGGTACATTGATACGCTTCCTACATCCAAAGAAACTACATATGCTCTGTGGATTTCAAAGCAGGATTGCTATTTGTTTTCTGAGCGTGCTTAATCAACTACATCACTACTAAAGAGCTTGAATTTGTTGGCATCAAGGACCAACTTCCTAATAGAAGAGAAAGAGCCCACGATTCCTGTACCTGTAAAGGCAATGATGATGAACACGTTGATCCAATAGGTGCAGGATGATTTTGGAGGCTTGAAAGTCATATTGTAGAGAAGCATTGGAAGGACAAAATCTAGAGGGATGAAGCCAATAGCGCCTACCACCGCGTTAACATCTCCAAAGAAAGGAAGCATCGCTGCCATGAATCCACAGAAAGTCACATAGAGTGTCCGGAGTATAATCCTAGGAATGAGGTTCCTTTTGGAAAACACCCCTTGCTTCACATCAGCTGACTTCTTTTCCATGATCTCATAAGCCACTTGAGAATAAACCTGTGTTACAATGGAAAAACGGTTACCTCAATGCAACCTGAAATAAGGTTTTGAAGTTTAGAAAAATTTGTAGACATCATGCAAACAGAGTTGGCATTCTTCTTAATTCAATTAAAATTTAAACAAGGCATATGAACAGCTTACTAAGCCAATTGCAAGGAGCTGTAAGAGGACAAAGACAACTGCAAGGCCAAGAACTACCGTTGGGGCCAAGGAAGGTCCATTGTCTGGCATCAGACTCTTGAGAATGTTTGAGTTAGCTTTGTTTCCAAATACCCAGTAACCAGAGACAGCCGCAGAGTAGAAAGTAATGACAATTACAGTATAGCACATTGCCAGGCCTTTTACCATCTTTCCAGTCGCAGGTGGTGCCAGAGTTGCCTGCGTAAATGGCATGTTAAAGGAAAGCCAAGAAACATTTTTCACTTGGACCAAGTCTCAATATGTTGCTCAGATATTTTACATACTGTGACTCCAAATTTTGGATCAAGCCATGTGCAAACTACAACAGCAGCAAATGGAGATTTTTATTTTCAGTAAGACTTTAATTCTTAACAGTCATTTTTCCCTGTCACCAAATCTCTAGTTTGAATTTTCAGGAGGCCACCAAATATCCAGTGATCTAGAGAAAAGAAAGCTTGGAGTGTTATCAGAATAAGAATTACTTGTATTTCCGGTAGTATCCCATTGCCAAATATGGCAGCTAATATGGAGATGGAAGTAAAGGCACTGAACAGCCTAGCAGATCTTGATGCTTCTAGGGAATAGATCCTGGGAGGGGCATTTTTAGAGAGACCTGTAGGGCAAAAACAACCATTCAAATCCCAAATGATGCTATGAAACATGTCTGTATCATCTAGTCTGGTAAAAGAATTTTATCCCCAAGTATAGAAATGTGCAAAAGATGGAATTTCAACTTTAATCTTATAGGGCTGAAGTCGAGAATTTTAGAAGCAACTATAACCTTTAGGGCTCATTTGGTTTGAGGAATGACTATTCCTAGAGCAAACCATAAAAATAAGGTAAATTCTAAGGAGAGCATTGCACAAAAGGAATGACTATTTGCATTGATTAGAAGAAAATCAGTGAAAGTAAATAACTATCCCTTGTGAATAACGTTCTCCTTACTATTTTGACCAAGGAATAGCAACTCCATCCAAATGAACATGTCCTTAGAGATTTTAAGTGAAGTTACTTATAGTATAAAAACTTCGCTGGTTACCTGTAGTACCAGGTTAGCCATTAATGGTCAATTTCTGAAGTTACTTAAGAACATGAATTATGAAAGGCATTTCAAGTTGCCTGTCAATTGTCATGCCATGTGAGCCTATTAAAAGGCCCATAAATGTTGCAATTCAAAGCACTTCCCTCAGAAAGTGACAACTGGATTATCACAATCCACAAGCCGATTTATTCATTGGGCTCAATACTGAAACCTATTCAACAAAACCATGGGACCACCTTGGGCCAAGCATCACTGATTCATTTACACCTGTGGGGCAAGCAGCATTGATTCGTTTACATTCTTGTCGTTAAAATCTCTTAACCTATATATATTGGGATTGGGAAATGATTTTGAAAT